GAAGCATGAAGTGCTCCAAAATCAGGAGAAAAAGTTTGGGAACCACTGGCTTAAGCTAACATGCCAAAAATACTGTCTTTACTTTGGAAAAAATAAAAATAAAAATAATGAAATCATCAAAGAGATCATGAGGATAAGACCCCCACAAGTCTAGTTCATCCTTGGGTACAATTTCCAGATGTTTTAAGGTGTCACATTCAAATAATTGTATACTAAAAAAAGGTGTTTTACTTTTACTGATGGGGAGAAAATGTGTATTATGATCGTGAAATGCAGTTCACATGGTCTGCCACTAGGGGCTGACTGTTTCCTATGAGATGAGCAGTTGAAGAACGGTTGACTCTTTATTGAAAATTAAACAATAAAAATAGAAACCACCCATTGGATCAAACTATTTTTTTTAAGCTGACACTACTATTTTGCAAGTAACCTTAAAAAATGAGATCATGTCACAAATGTTTACAACTCAGAGATTCACCCACCACTTTCTCTCCTTTGTCTGGTTTTGTCACTGGCTGGCAAAAATAAGCAGCAGCATGACGCAACAAGTCTGAACTGAACCCAGACAGGCTGAACCAATTACCCCGACCCTTGACAACGTGTCCAACACCAACATCCAGGCTAAAAAAAAAACGCCTGCCTGTGAACTAAGGCTTCACTCACTGCAGTGCCTCTTAAATTTAACCGTCTTGTTTTTTCTTCCCAGCAGTTTGTGGCTGAAGAAAATGTTGGTAATTTCATGGTATTTCTGTCACATCACAAGGGATATGTTAGGCACCTATTTCATATCTGAGGATGAAAAACTAAAACTGTAGAAGGAAAGATCAAATTTGATGTTTTTGTCTGCTCTCTAAATGGAAGAAAAGTTCACCCCTTGAAATCAAGATGGTTTCACAAAATATATGTTCAATTCAACCTTTTAAGTACTATAAGTAGCTACAGTATACATAAGTCAAATAGAGAAAGTGACTAACCCGGGAGAGAAAGAAGGATGGAAGGAGGGATGGACCTCGGATGTGTGGAGGCGCACCAAAATATTCACTTTGAAAGTAAGTAGCAGCAGTGAAGAGAGAACAGCATGTTTCCATCCCTCAGACGACTGGGAGACTTTTCACATGACGTTTTGGAAAGATGCCCCACTTCACTTCTTTAATCTTTGGGTCCAATCTCTCTTCAGGAAAGGAAACTTTCTTTCCCAACTCGGGTAATTAAAGTTTAAAAAAAAAGAAATGTGCTTTTGTGCTGTGCGAGTGCGTACGATGCAAAGTGCTAAAGTCATAATTACTGTTTATCCTCACTACTTGTATATTATGTGGAGTTTGGATTCGTCTTTATGGCTTCCAGTGTTTCAGTTTTCCGTCATCGTCTTTCCTAGCAAACATTTTGTCCAGTAATTTTTCAGGAGAGGGGTCACAGGTGGGAGTCATGTGGCTTAGAGCAGATTAGAAGTCAAACCCAGCTGGCTTTGTGAATGGGAACTTTTCGTTGCGTGAGAGATCTGGCTGCCTTTGGGGCTTAGGAAACTAGTAATGCGCTTTGGTGGAATTACAGTGCGGTGAAGTATTTCTCTGAAGGCGATGCGAGGTGCACATGTGGCTGAGGCGGTCAGTTTAACACATAAATACGCTTTGATCTGAGCCATTTGATTGCATTGGCTGCATTTTTAGAGTTGTTGTCCTGCTGGAAAGTGAAACTGCAACACATGCTGAAGGTTATCACCCAGAATTGTTTTGTACTTAGCTCCACAGCATAAACCCTTTCTGGTTATGATGAGGCAACACGTGATAAAAGTTTGGAGCGGTATGAATCCTTCTATGATTTACTTTAGATGTGACTGAGATGTACAGATGTATATTTGGGTTGTCTGTTTCAATATCTGATTTGTTTCTGCACAGCATAAAAATTGTTTTATACTTTCTGATGTGTAAAATTGGTCACATTGAAACAAAGTAATGCTCTTGAACGCCTCACAGACATCTGTGACCCATCTGTAAATTCTGTCCTTCATCCAGATGGTCTGTCTTGTCCTTAGTTCATCCTCCTAGCATTCACAAAAAGCTTGAACTGGTGACTTTTGAGTTTAGGGTTAAGGATCTAGCAAAAGCTGTGTTTGCATCTGTTAAGGCTGGTGCACAGGGCACGATTTGAGCCAAGTGTGGGGGGAAGTGCTTCAATTAAGGGCAAGGCTGTTTTTATAGGAGAACAGATAATCTGTAATTTCAGTGTAAATCATTTTCTTTGACTAAAATCATTATCTTCACCTGCTGATCTTCCACATCTCTTCCCGAACTGACCCCTTTTAGAGGCAATTTCCAACCTGAAATTGTCATAGCTTTGCTTTTAAGCAATGTTTGTACAAGTTACACAAAACGACTGATCCAAACCATCTACCAACTGTGACTTGTAACCCAGACAGGAGGCAAGTCAAAGCCTTCAAGAGTCTGTAATGATCTCACCACTACCGACAGTTTCAACCAAAGTCAGGAAAGAGAAAATAATATAAAAAAAATTATGTGCAGGCTTCATTACTTCTTTGGGAACTTTTCCATATTTCATTGTTGTTGCCCTTGCAACTCCACCCTTCTGAGAAACATATACTTAAATAGAACATTTCCCTTCTGTCTAAGTAACATGTATGTAAAAGACATTAATCACCAACAAAGCCTGAACTTTTGTCACTTTTGTTGGCTTTTGCTTTGCTGAAACTTGAAAGACGCTTGTGTTAAAAAGTGGGACTTTGAGCTATTTTCCAAAGCTACAAGGACAGGCGTAATCTGTACCAAATGAGTCAAATGAGATACTCGTTATCAGACCTTAGCATAGCTGAATCACAAAATCACAAAAGCATGAAATCTCAAACAAAACCCCAAACACCAACGTTTGATCAGCTCAATGGCCACCCAGGACAAAAACATTGATGGTAAACAATCCTCCCTGTAAAAACAGGGAAGTCAGGAGAAATGAGAGCAATAATTTGGAGGCCTAACAAAATGGCAGGAATTTTGTGGATTACAAAGCTCTCCATGGTGAGCCAAGACTCCCTGTAATTTAACAGTCTTGATTGATCATTTGTGACCAAAGTTCAAAGTCCTCATATTCTGACTGCATCCAGGTAGGCATAATACCTGCTACTTAGCATTTTCAGAGAAGAAACAGGAACAAAACATCTGCTGATGTTCACAATAAAAAAAAAAAACGAACGATAAACTTTTTATATGCTCTGATGTGCACAGATAACAGCACTCCCATTTCTCTTAATATCACCAGATTACTTTGTAACGGAGAGCCATGGGATTATAGAAAACAAGCAACAGTAAACGGAAGCAGCTAAAAGTCTGAGTTTAGTATTCCTAATCTATTTTTATTTGTGACGGTTTAACAGCAAGAGAGAAATGTAGTTATCAAAACATTATTTAGAGGACTGTATCTGCCAACCCAGTAAAACTTAGTAAATCTATCTACTGTCATTTTTCTGACAACCACTTGTTGTTTTGACCCTAAAAGGTTGCTTTAATAAAATAAATATGTAGTGGATAGTTCAAACACTGAATAAATCACTACTACTGCTAACATGTAGGAGGAACACTCAAAGAGAGTTGCTATTGATGAAATTTAATAAAGTAATCATGGAGATCAGTAGATGTTTTGGTCCGATTGAAGCCACTTAACAACTAAGGTAAAACAAGGCATTTGTTTACTTGAGAAACTTTATACTCACAAACAACTTCTGCCATCGCCTGGATGATCTGATTGCTGTATCTGCTAGCGTTGTCACGGTCATAACATGAACTGTGCTGTATTCAGGTTATTGCTTCCTTTGAAGGAATAAGAGTGGTTCCCCAGGAACCAATAAGAGTGAACAATAAAATGTTTTTTATCGGGTGAGCAGAGATCACCCGATAAAAATCAATAAAATGTTTTTTTATCGGGTGAGCAGAAATCTGCCTACTTCTTCTCACTTTCATGCATCTGTAGATGTGTGTGGAAAAACTGATTATGCTGAGAACTAAAGACAGTAGCAGTAGTTGTGATATATGAGCAAACATACATGAGCATCCAGGAAGTGATTTTCCGACATACTGTGGTTGTTGCGATCACAAAGGACTGTGGCCGTAGCGTAAAGGAACTGTCATTCTGTTTGATCTATTTCTGTATTCTGGATTTGTTCAAGGGGAATTTCTGAACTCTAATTTTTTGACAACAGTTGGAAAAAAAAAAAAACAACTCAAGATTTATTGCCATCTGGTGTTTTGTCCATCATCTTTTTCCTCCTTAACTCTCCAGGGTTTCTCTGGCCTCGCTTTTATACTTTAAATGTTACAGCCAAATATTTCTGTTCAGTCTGAGAACTGATCTTGGACTCTGTATCTCACTTGTTGTGTGCTCTGTCCAGAACAGTTGTAAGGCTGACATTTTTGTAAATTAGACTTGTGGTTGAGAAAGTCTCTGTGGAGTAAGAAATGATTTTTGTGTTGTTGTTTTTTTCGAGCAATTTAGCATGCGAGTAGTTTGACAACATCGTCCTACAGAACAACTGACTCACATTTTCAGTCGTCTCTGCAGACTTTATGAGTCTACAGTCCAACTTGTTACTTAGCTGCTGGTGTTTGTTTGTTTTCATTTTCCTCAGTGAGTCATCATCTGCTTCATTTCCTCCATCTCCTTCCTCTCCCTGGCCCCCGACCATGGGAAAAGCCTCCTGATATCAATAGAGGACTCTTTCTCCCACTCCCATCCACTTTCTCTGACTTTGTCAGTGGGCCAAACGACGCTCCACAGAGACATCTGAAGAGACGTGTTTGCTCACTTCCTGTGGGACATAGTATTTCTCTACTCCATCATCACAGATGTTTTAAGAAGAAAGGTTTTGTTTTGTCCCATTGTAGCTCACTTAGCTGGTTCATCACGCACTGTTGCTCAACAACTTCCTAGCACTAAAGTACTCTTGTTACATCAGATGTAGGGGTCTCACAGGAGGAACTCAGACAAGGCTCTGGTCTTGCTGTTAACACCTGCCCAACCTTATCTGGACAATTAGGCCTTGTAGCAGTGAAGTGCATTTTAAAGACCCTGTGAGACAAGACGTTATGTAATTTATTTAACGGGTTCTTCTGCTGGATACAGAGAGGGAATCAATAAACAGGAAATCTGAGAATGTTTTCAAAGGGCATGGCGATAAACGGTGGCCCCTCAGCTGCGTGTAACTCTGATAGGATGTAATTCTGCACCGGGATGGGGAGGAGAACGAGCTGGGAGGAGGGAATGAGTGGAGAAACTCACAGAGTGAATGAAAGAAAAAAAACTGCAAGGGGTAAGACATACAGAATAATGAGGGGAGTGCTTTGGGAATTAATTTTCTTCAAACTAACCTGTGGATCCTACTGCTGCCTGGACTCTGCTGCAATAGAGAAATGGTAAGGACTGCATGTCTGTTTGAAATAACTACTTTTCAGCTTTCTTTGTAACAGTTACATGCTGAATATTAAAAGAATCCTCTCTTTCATTTTACTGATTTTAAAATGCAGTAGCTTCCTCTGTTTTGTCGGCGTTAACTCCTAGCAGAGGACTTTAAAAAGTAGCAGTCCAGACTGTGTAGCTGGCAGTATCTATTTTCAGAAGCCTGTGGCAGCTCTGAAGGGCATTACTGCCCCCATAATGACAGGTTACAGCGCAAGGCCCGGCATTTTCAAGCATTAAAACAGCTCCCAGGCCTGGGTGTGTACGCTGTATCTCTGAGGTTTGTGGCAGCAACTGTGTGTGTGTGTGTGTGTGTGTGAGAGTCAGGCAGACAGGGGACACATTACCCTGCCCACTCTCCGGTCCTGTGTCTGCGTCTCAAACAGGGCCGGCGTTGACAGGCATTGGGCTGACAGCAGAGGCGTCAGGGCTCCAGTGTCAGGACTGTACTGAGGGAACGGTTTGTTCTCCGGGTCCCCGGGGTCCTCTGGGACTCGCACACTGAACACGATTGTAAGATGCATGCGGTTTCAGCCTGCAGCTTTGTCTGGGGGTGACATCAGATGCCAGCTGAACGGCGTGTTGTCTCATGCGGACTAAAGTTGGAGTGCGGAAGTTGTGGAGGGTTTCTGGCTATTTTTGTAGTTATTCTAATTGATAAGTGATGACAACTCACTTGTTTTTGGTGCGCCGGTTCTGTGATAATCACAGAAAGTCGCAGAGTAGTCTAATGATTTATTTGACATGTCTTGCAAACAAACAGAACGTTTATTGTTTTAGAATGTGGATCTCTCTATAACGGACTGTAGAAAACAATGGCAGAACTTTTTTCTAAATATTTAAAGGTGTTCATAACTCTTAGACATTTTCCCATTTTGTCACATTACAATCACAAACTTCAATGCATTTTTTGTGATTTCCTTAAATTATAGACCATTAAATTGATGCATATGTATCAAGAGGAATTAGGTAAGCTGTCAGGATTTTCTTGTATTTACTATTACACTCTTCCTGTCAATTATTGCCATTTTTCTGTCCCTTTCAAAGGACAACATAATGCTGCCACCACCGTGTTTCACTGTGGGGATAATATGTGTTGGTCAAGCCATAGTATCTCCTACAGACATGTAATTTTTTTTTATGTAAACGAAAAGGTAAAATTTTAGTAGCATCTGAGCAGAGCACCTTTTTCAGTGCCTCCTCTATCTGTAAACATTTGTCCTGTCAGCAGATTCTGCCAACTGAGTTGTGAATAAAAACATTGAATAACGTCTGACCCCGGGGTCTAAAACCTGCAGCTCCGGAGCTCCAGTACCTCCTAAAATCTTTGAATAAAACTTAAAAGGAACCACTTAATGTTTTTATCTACAGAAATAAAACATGCAGAGGTTTTTTTTTTTTTTCAAAATTTTCCTGCAATATTTGCAAAGAAGGACACTAAAATTACCAGCAATATGTTTTTATTTATTTATTTTTTATATTCATTGTCTTTTTTGTTTCTTTATTTTAGAGCCTAAAAATAGAAATAAAAACTGGTTCTGCAATGGCAAGATGTTGGTGTAGCCATGTGGGGGTAGTAGATATTTGTCTGAAAAGTTTTCTTCTTTCAGCTTTAAGCACGTTTTATTTGGCTGTTCTGAGAGCAAAATGGCTCTTATGGTTGTAAAGTTTCTAACATTTTCTCTCTACAATTATGCTGCACTTTGTTTTTCTTTTTTGCTCAACAAAATAATCCAATTTAAATACACTAAAACTTGTGGATGTAAGGTCACAAATGATGAAAAAAAAATTTTTGATTTAAATATTTTTGCAAAGTTCCTGTAGAAATTTTCTCTGACATGTAAAGAGTCAAACATTACACAGTCAGCTTTCCTTCTTTATAGACTAAACAAACACAAGGCTGTAGGCGGTTGTGTCTGGTCCGTGCTTCTTGGGATGCAGAGATGTTAGTGATAGTGGAAGACTGGGATGAAAGCGTTTATAAAAAAACATGTTGTGTCATCTGGGTTGCGTATGTGCGCAACCCAGGCATGGCTGTTCCTGGCGGGGGTGTGTTTTCTTTCTGTCTGAAGAGCAGACAGCTGAATCTAATCTTCTGCATCTGGCTGCGTGTTGCGAGATCTGAGTCACTAACTGAGCGACTAAACAAGCAGAGAAGAAGCACTGATATGAACACTTGAAGTGTGTTCGAACCTGCAGAGCTCCTTCCCTCCACCACGAATGAGACATACATCGCTTCATCGATTAAAGTCTTTGGACTTCGGCCTACATGGATGAGGGAATGAATGTCGTTTTGTCCGTAGTTCTGGAGAAACAATTCTTCAGTGTAGTGGTTTGGTCACATGGGTGTATAACTGGGGCAGAAGGGTTTCTAAGGAAAGCACTGTTCCCATTGTAGTTCAGCAGTATTCCCAGCGCTCCCATTCATGGCCTGAAACATTGTGTGTGTGGGTGTGTATGTGTGCTTTAGGATCTACACGTGTCAGACTCTTCTGACAGTACGGCCGACATGGACCGCATGAGGAGGAATAAAGTGGAGCATGAGCGTCAGACCCATCAGGTCTTACAGGTGAGTTATTTCTTCCGGTTTGATCGAACAACATGTGACGTGTTCAGGGGCTTTTGCTGCTCTGATCCTTCTAATCTTAGTCATGTATGTGTATTTAGTCCTACGTTGCTTTGACTTTTACTTTAACAGCTACAATATCTGCTGTAGTGAGACCGTGGTGGTGTGTCGGTACCCAAAGCGTGCCGAGAAAAACACCACCACAACACGACACAAACCAGATTGAGGCATTAATCTGAGTCAGAGAGATTCTGGCTTGAGTCGAATTCTGATGGTACAATCTGAATGTTGCAGCTGAAATGCAGACATATTGAACCAATTTTTCATCTTCTAGTTCTCAGCTGACAGCACCAGGTGAGTGAGGACCGCTGCTGCTCCAGGTGTTGCGCATTCAGTCATGGCGGTCGGCACACCTGGGGTTTAACATCTGGTTAATCTAGCTAGTGTTGACCTCCTGTCCTCTCAATTCAGTGTGATCATTTACCTTTGACCGCTGATGTCAACATGGTGTTTTTTTTTTTCATAAAAAGCAATTAAACAAGTGTACCTAACAATTTGACAGGTGATAGAGACACCTGTCAAATTGTGTATTTTATATATATACAGCTCTGGAAAGAATTAAGGCCCACTGCACTGGACTCCACTGAAAACTCCCTGGTTATTCCACCAAATATTTATTTCTGAACTCTTCCGGAGTTAAAACATTAGTTTTGTTGTTTCTAAATGAATGTGAACTTGTTTTCTTTGCATTATTCGAGGTCTGAAAGCACTGCATATTTTCAGTTATTTTGACCATTTCTCATTTTTTGCAAATAAGCACTAAATTTTTGCTTTGAATTTTATAGACATGTTGTCAGTCGTTCATAGAATGAGAAAACAATGTTCATTTTACTCAAACACATACCTATAAAGAGTCAAATCAGAGAAACTTATTATTTATAATAATCTCTTATTTTTTTTCCAGAGCTGTATATCTATATGTTTGCATGTATATGTGTATTTAAACTAGCTATAAATATATAGATATATTATATATGAACCAGACTTTAGAAAGGGCCCCAAAGATTTGAAAAAAGTCTTTGGGACCCCACAGAGAGTTCTTTAAATTTAACCCTCTGCGGATGAAATGTACCCACAGTACTGTTATTTTGCTTTTCTTATTATATTTCAACAGTCCTGCATTATCAGATTAGAAGTGTGTATATACTGTGTATGAGGCTATTTTAGACATGTTTACAGTGTTAAAAAATGTCTAAAAATCATAAGCAAGCTCAAAATACTGCATCTTGATTATGTTGTTACCATCATGAGAACTTTCATAATAATTATGCTGCGTTTCTGTCTGATTGCCCTCATGTTTTCTTTTTTAATAACCCAGTCTTGAAAAGATTAAAACTGCCACAGTGCACAGAATGGTGAGCGATGGTTACTTCAGCTGCTGCTGCTCACACATGTGCAGCAGGCATCTGTGGTTTCAGTAGCAAAGCATCGGTGATGATAGCTGTGTTTCCTACCATCCGCAACAACTTTAAGAGAGTCTCTGCTCTTAAATGGCCACTTTCAGAAAATAACTGCAGTTAAAATGTGGAACATTAACTCAATCTGTGGTAAAAGAGTTTAACAAGCTTGTGACCGAATATAATCCTATACTGCGTGTACTCAGTGTTAAAATAAATACAAAAAAGTCCTGAATATTTCCAGGTTTAATTCTTAATATTTTTACATCTGGTACTTCAGGATTATTATGCTTTGTTATCTTACTCAGGCAGCCCAACTTGATTCACTACAACATATCTTTTATGAGGTATGATGAGGAAATCACTCACTTAAAACAAACAAAAACAACTAAAGTTTAAAGAACTTTAATTAAAGAAATAACACTTCATCTCATTGCCAGGGTAAGAACAACTTTGTATCCAAAATCCCCCTGTTATATTTACTGGTATCCTGACAGAGTACAGAGTAGATATTAAAAAAATGTTTGTTTTCTTGTGTTTTTTCTGACAGAATACTCCTTTAGATTTGATTGAAACGGGCAAGTCCTTGAAAGTTCAGGCAGAGCGCCCCCATCTGGTCAGCTTGGGAAGTGGACGCCTGAGTACAGCCATCACTCTTCTGCCACTGCTAGAAGGTAAAAATGCTCATGTTCTGAGTCATAGTTTAAAAAAAAAAAAAAGTAATACACGTTTATAAATATAGTGTAAAGTAAAAATTACAATAAAGTTAAAAGTGCATTTACAGCTAAGCCAGCAAATATGGAATATTTTGGACTTTTTGAATACATGAATGAGTTTTTATGTTTTCTTTTATTTGTTGCTCTTCTACAGTGCATTTAAAAAGTATTTTAGAATATGGTACATAATTAGGAAGAGGTAATTAATGTATAATTTTGTTTCTTTAGTTTTTTCAGTTTAATACAAATCTGAAAATGTGGGGTAATTATGAAGTCTAATTCTGTTCAAACTTTGAATGAGGGTGTCTTTGAACATTGGTTATGCAACACTTGGCTTGTTCCAAAGTTTTAGTTGGACTTATGTCTGAACTTTAACTAAGCCATTTAAACACATTAATGTGCTTTGATCCAAACCATTCAACTTCAGCTGTATGTTTATGGTTATTGCACTGTGGGAAAATAAAGACCCTAGAATATCCTTCATCCATGAGTACTGGTTGACTGATTTCCCACCATAAACGTTTTGTCAGGCTAAATATGACTTTTCAGAGTTTTCCACCTGTTGATAACATATTTACAAATAGCGTTTGTGACTCCGCCCATGTGGACTTGACCTCTGACACTCTGTTGACCTTGGCTTTCCTGACTTTGACCTACGAAACCTTACAATATTTCTCAGAAGTATCCGGTGTTATAGCTCTCCAGGAAGTCACTCAATGTTTTCTTTTTCTGGTCACAGGGAGAACCACGCTGGGCAGCGATAGGACAGATATCCCCCTGCAGGGCCCAGGCATTGCAGCTCAGCACTGCTACATTGAAAACCAAGCAGGGAACATCACGCTGTACCCATGTGGAAACCAGTGCTCTGTGGATGGGCTTCCCGTCACCAAACCCTATCGCCTCACACAAGGTAGGAGATAAAAAGTAGATATTAGACCTAAAGTAAAAACAACATGCAGCAAAAGTAAACCCATGTCCTTTCAGTAAGCTTACAACGCTGGTCAGGAGTTTCATTATAGGCATACATTATGTTAAATTTGTCTTCTAATGATGCCTTTTGATTAATAGCTCAGCAACAAAAAAAGTTTGACTAATTTTAAAAATAAGACTCGAGGGTAAGTCTGAATTAAATTTTCTCTAAACCAAACTGGTTGAAAATATATAACCTCAAATCTGCAACCCCAACATGTTTAGCTAAGTGTTAGCTAACACTTAGCTAAATATTATTTAGCTAACACTAAGTAATATTTAGTGTTAGCTAATATTTAATGTTGGCTATAGTGTTTGTAGGTCACATATAAACCAAACTGCATATTTGGTTGTCTGAAATGTCAAATAAATTCAATTTAAACATTTTAGGGTCAGATGAAAAAAAATGAAAGGTTTGGGCACAGTGATTTAGAATGTTTGGAGTAGTGAAAGAAACTATTTCAAACCATAAAACACACCAACACACTACTGCAACAGACTGAATGTTCTGTTCTTTGTGTGGAAAATATTTCAGTGTTTTTCGGTGTCGAGTCTCGAAACGTAAAGTGGCGTTGTAGTCCGTTGCTATGGCAACGAGTCTGCGTGTAGCTTTGCTGACGCAGAGAGCGAGAAAGTGAGAAATATAATAATAATAATAAAAAAGGAATTTTTTCCTTAAATTTATCAACTCAGCAGCTAGATCTTGACACATTTAGTTGTTTAAACACATGAATCCATTTAAGAAGCAGGTTATATTAGATAACATTAAAATTAGCCAAATGTACATGAACAATGCCTAAAAGTTGTACCTGTGGAAGGAAACCAGTTTAAATTAACTACACTATTTGTGATGGGAGATGTGACAAGTTAGCCAGAAGCTTGTCGGAGGCTACCAGAGGTGCAGAATGTTACTTGACATTAATCCAAATATAGGTTGAGCCTGTATGAATATTTTGTAGCCCGTGTGGTTAATATCGACCATATATTAAAATATACGCCCCTAGTTATTGGTTTTCTTGTATAATCATAAGACAGGGTGCATCCAGTGATGCATTTGAAGTGTGAATGTAAACGTCTGACTGGCACTGTACCATAAAAGAACCACCAGCAGTCCCTCCCCCTCCGCCCTCTCTCCATTAAGCCCGGTCCAGAACAGAACAGAATGTCATTCGAAGCCGGCATGTGTGTGTGGAGGCAGCAGCTGCTCAACAAGAATATTTCAAACTTGTTACTCTAATTTAAAGGACAATCGTCACATTTCAAACAAGAAATTGTGACTGGGAGGCATTTCAACCTGGAAACAATGCGGCAGCTTTTGGGACTCTAAAAGACAAATGTTAAACTTCCTCTGGAGCAAATACAACTGGAAATGAAGCTTCTGCATGTGACTTTCACGATACAAAGAGGGTAAAAATGCAATGAAGTCGTAAGGAGGTAATTTGACCAACTGTTTTTGTTGAATTTACCAGTTTATTTAGATAAATACATCATTAGTTACTGAAAGCTAAGCTAACTGTTCTGAATATTTTTATGTGACTGTCTGGCTTATACTCAGCAAACTAAAGCAAATCATCTCAACTTTAAGATAATATCTGCATACAAATCAGCAAAAATATATTGTAGAATACAAGTTAAAATATATAAAAAAGTGTAACATATTCAATTTAGATTGGGTAAACTGATAACATTTTACAAAAATAAACCATTTAGAATTAAAAATATTCAAATAAGCAAATGATTTTGTAAATTTCTGTTGCTGTGAAAGCCATGACCAGATATCTACTTATAAACTCATGAAATTCAGATATTACATCTCTGTATGTACGCCTGTGTTTCCTGGCAGGGTGCATGCTGTGTTTTGGTCAGTCTGCCTTCTTCCGCTTCAACCATCCCGAAGAGGCTCAGAGGATGAAGAGTATGCTGCCTGCTGGGAGCCTCAGAGTGAACACAGTCAAACCGCTCCCCTCTGGTAAAAACACAAACAAGCAAACAAACAAAACGCATAAATTCAACATAAAATTCAGATCCAGCACCGTCCTAAGCTGTTCCTGCAGTTCAGAAATAACTGTCCTTTAACAATTGTTTATACAAACGTTTTTCCCTCGCAGCTATTCTGGGTAGAATAAATCTTTTTTCCTCTGTCCAGAATGGAAAAGAAAAGACTTTCCTTAGTAGTAGAAGTAGTATTTTTATTCTGACTGTGACTTTAAATATTATTAAATTCAATCGAGTAAAGAAAAATCTAATTATCTTCGGCCTACATTGTGATCTATTTAGTCAGCATGGTGACCTCATTGCAATCTTTGTGTCCTGCCTTTTGTACGCTTTCTCTGTGAATGCAAGATCCTTCTGGCCCACTGCCCGCCTGTGATATTTAGAACCCATTCTCCTGTGACCTTATTAGTTTGGCTGTCGGCGCCTGAACAGCAATGGCCGCCACACCCTGTCCATAGTGCATAGTTCAGTCTTTCCTGGTGAAGCCCTGAATTTGTCAGCTTTGAATGAGCTGAAAGGCTCAATTTTTATATTTAGCTGCTTTATTTCCCTGCAGGGTTACAACACCTCTAAGGAGCATCCAAAGCAACTGGGTTTGGCCCAGGTTGTACAGGAGATTCTGCTACTGCAGAGGACTCTTAAAGACTCATTTTAAGCATTTTGTAACCAGGAACAAAGCCTAGTATTTAATATAATCCATATATTTGGTGCGGTCATTCCAGAAGCTGATGGTTAATTCTTCAATCCTCTAAGATGTTAATTTGAGCAGATGTGAAGCATGTGGAGTAGTCCTCGTTTTATGTCCATCTAGTTTATGCAGTGCACTTCTATCTCTGAAAGAAAAACCGCTTCAAAGCATCATGCTGCCACCACCGTGCTTGGCAGTTGTCTCAGTCTTCTTAAGCCTGAAAGCCTCTTCTTATTTCCGTCTAAGAAACTTGTGGCCAAACTTTTTTTTTTTTTGCCCAAAAAAACGTTTCTGCCAAGCTGCAATTTTCGGTCATGTTCAAATGTGTTGAATTTTAAGAAAAAAAAAAAAGTCTTTCTTGGTTGGTACTCTGTAACTAGCTTTACTTACCTCTTGTGGATGATGACACTGGTGTGCCAACCTTTTCCATCTTATGATAGGATTGAACATCAGTGGTTCCTGGATTGCTGAAACTCCACAGTATTTGTGGAGTTTGATGTAAAGCCAGATCCATGCCAGCATCCTACCTCTATAAATTAACTCTATAAATTTTATTTTATCACCAGTAGTGGTTAAAAGTACAGACAGAGTTATACCAAAATATACTTCTCAAGGCAACAATATGTTTGTGTCTCTTAACCTCTCACCAACACTGTGGGTGTGAATAAGTGTAGAACAGAAAAATGGCCTCCTCCCTTTGTCTTATAGCTGACCTGGGGTGTGTTGTGGGTAAACAGGACAGAGGACAGTTGCCCCACATTTTGTGTTTATTTATGTGTGTTTTTGCAACTGTCCTCTAGCTCTTTATAACAGGAATGCTCACGGACAAATGTTTCTGTCTCCCCTGGTGCAGACCCCCGCAGCATCTCAAATGGAAACCACAAGTCTTTTTCAGACAACAGCGACGCTAAACTCAACGGCATAGCAGAAACTCTTCAGGACTCCCTGAAACTGAAACCATCCTCATCCTCTGGGTTTGGTAAACAACAAACTATTTTGGACATGCCAAATGGAAAAGCTGCCACTCCTCCTGGCGGCTCCAATCCAGAAAACAGCAGCAGCATCTCTTTCATTCAAAATGTCACCAATAAACCCCTGGCGGTACCGGTTCCTTATCCACGGACCTCGCGCTCGGTGGCTTGGAATGGAGCTGGTGGGACTCAGAGAACTCAGGAGAGTCCAAAGCCACTTAGAAATGCTGGCAAAGAGACAACGTCAAGCCCCAAGCTCCACGTTAAGGGGTTAGAAAACTCAAGCATTAGTCAAAAACCCTCCTCTATAAAAATTTCCCGCACTGCTCCATCCAGTCCTCAACTGAGAAGTTCCTCCCTTCAGACGAGATCCCCAAGCCCGATGCGAGAGCTGGGTCAGCCTCTCTCTGATGTTGATGTCCCTCACAGGATGACTGGCTCCTCCAACCTCAGGGAACTTCCCCGGGTCAGTCCCTTTGTGTCCTACAGGGGGACAGCAGGACCACAAGGAGTTCCTCAGAGTCCGCAGGGCCAGCGCAAACTCCTAGCAACACCAAAAGCAGAAGCCATGAGGGCTCTGTATGCACAGAGCCCATCGTCTCTCTTTGGGATGGAGAAGCAGTCGGAGGGCAGACCCTTGCGGCCTGGACCAGCAGTTGGCATTACCTCGGGCCTGGGTTCAGTGTCTGGGTTGTCTCCTCTGGCAAGTCCAAGCAACGAGCGAAAGGCTTCCTCCAGCAAAGAGGGGAATCCTACAAAACCATATACCAGGGAGCGCAAAAACAGCATCTCTGAGATCAGCGATAATGAGGACGAGCTGCTGGAGTACCATCGGTGGCAGAGAGAAGAGAGGCTGAAGGAGCAGGAAATGGAGAAAATGGTGAGTACCCAATGTGATAAGATGTGACTGAATTTAAACTCTGGTCTACTCTTGGACTGCATCTAAAAATGTTGCTTTTCAAATTTGAAATCTGTGGAGCTGTGTGCGATTTAGCTTCAAAACATTAGTGTATGAGAAATAAAACCCAAAACAAAATGGTAAAGAGATGAAAGTTCCCAATGAAAGAGCCCAGATAGCACAGAATGATTGAAACAACATTGAATCAATGTCAGCCAGAAACATTGAATCAACGTTGAACGCTG